TGTGTATTTTTGCAATGAATTGTGACATAATGGTACAAGATTCTTATCTTGTTCCTGTTCCATTTCATTCCTCTATAAATACATGCAATACTAAAGTGCAAAGGACACAAAAAGCTACCTCAAGAACAACTTCAAAAATCTCTCAAAAATCTCAAGAAAAGTGCAAATTCGTATCACACTATCCAGCCACTCTCAAGCCAAATAAAGTGTCCAAACCTCTTCCTGAAGTCCTCAGGAACTCATCCAGCCCAAAAATCAGAAGATTTGGTGCCTAGAACTTGTGCTTCAAACTTCACTGGTTTGCATTTTTTTCTTTGAATTCAATCTTAAATTCCATGCATTACTAATGTGTTTGATGAGCTCAAATGTATTCATGATATAATTTAGGACGAGTTTGACGTATCACATGCAAGTTTGATGCATGAATCTCTATATGCCATTTTAAGGCATGGAAATACGTTTGCTTCAGATCTCTCTTTACATGCACATTCAAGAGAAAAGAACTCCACCATCGAATTCGTTTCCAACTTTTCAATTTTCTTGTTTTTATTATTTTTGCTTTTGATTAATTAATTTAATTACTTTTTTTAATTAAAATCAAAAGATCATAAAAAATCAGAAAAAAATCATTAAAAATTAGATTTAGGTTTTTTTAATTAATTTAATTTTTTACCAACAATTTTTTTTAATTAAATTAAATTTGTTTTTATTTCACAATTAATTTATAAATTACTTAGAATTAGAGTTAATTATTATTATCACATTAATTATTTTTCATAAATAAAAACATCAAAAAATATTTTCCTAACACTTAGAAATTTTCTTTAGGTTTTAAATACCTTCTTCTAATTTCTTTTCTCTTTACTATTTAAATTCTATAAAACAAATGTATAGTTCACGCAATTGATTTTGTAATAACTTAGTTTATTTTTCCGCATTTTTCCTTATTATGTAACTGCTCATGGGATGTAATAGTCTAGGTTTATTTTCCTGCACTTTACTTTCCGCACATATGTATGTATATATGTCTGTATATATAATTATATAGTAATTAGGCATGTATGGCAAGATTTAAAATCAACCGCTAGATAACCCTAATTAGGACAAATTAATTGAAAACAAATTACTTTTCACACACGCACCTCTATGGTAACCTCACTTGTTTCCTTCAGATAAAAGAGTCATGTCTCTCGAACGTAGGGATACCATTAGCAAAGACCCTCAGTTAAAAATCATCATAAAGATCATAGTCCCTCAATGATCCATCGATGCTGCCTTCGGTAAAGGATCTTGTCCCTCAATGTTACCTACAAATACATGATGATAGTCCCTTCGAATTGCTAAAGGTATCCCTATATATTGTCTTTATGATTGTATGATGACTCGTGCATGTCCCTCAAACATCCAACGATAGGGCTTCCTACTAACTAATGGTTGGATAGCACTATCTAAAGGAAGAGGAAAATAACACGAAAGACTTTTGAGTAGGTAGACAGCTCGTAGTCGCTTGCTCACAAGCAAAAAACATCTTTCACACTAGACACTTCTTTTCTAAAAATATTTTCAAAACAAACACTTTGTATGTGTTCTCAACGATGCGAGAATCATTACAAAGTTTGCCTAACTTAGGCATTTTCAAAATATTTTCAAACTTACACATTCACAAAGAATTTTCAAAAGTGAGCTAGCGATTAAGAGCCCGTAGATAACTACAGATGAAAAGGGTGATAACACCTTCCCTTTTCATAACCTACCCCCTTACTCAGAAAATTCTCAAAGGTCTTTCCTATTCTTTTCACCCTTTCCTTTATTGGATAAAAGAAAATTTGATGGCGGCTCTTGCTATCCGCAACATTTGTGATAAAATACAAAACCAAAAGTCAGTTCTCCCATTGTATTACAATAAGTATCTTTTAACAATTTTTATTTTTGAAGAGCTCGACCAACAAGACTTGTCTTTGGAATTCCTTAGATATGAGATGCATATACATGATGGTATGATATCATGGTATGTAATGTCATGGGATCTCAGCTCCACATATTCTAATAACCAATGTATAGTCCTTTGCATAAACTGAAAGTAACAGGATCAAAGGATTCACGTCACAAGCATGGAGTCAAGGTAACCATCCATAAGGTATAGACTAATGGTTTATCACCTGTAGATCAAGCTTCTAAGGAAATCCCAGAGTCTACATTCCTATTTCATATATTTCCAACGTCCTAGTTACTCGGTAATTAGCAATATTCTCAAGAAAAACTCGTTTGAGTGCAGCATCGCGTGACAACTACTTATGGATTACTCTATTATAATCTTCGCACTACATATAAAAGGCCAAGATAGGTTAAGGGTTCTACGGCTTCTCAGCTTCACAGGATCCCAGGTTTAAAGCAGCAATGTCCTCCCGATTACTCGGTAAATAAATACTACAGTCAAAGGGGCCTCCACTGAGTGGGGGATCTCATGTCTCTTTTTTCGGGATTACTCTTTCAAAGTTAACATGAATATACCGTCCATCTTAATCTTAAGTTTGTCCAAGTCAGGGTATAGGACTTATCGAATGAAATCACTCACCCCAACATTATAAAAGATACAGCATATCCAAAACAGGTGAGTAGCAAAAGCACAATGCAATATATACAAAAGAAAGCAACAAATAAATAAAGTGGTAAAGAAAATAAAGTAAATAAATAATCATCCATAGAAGAAAACAAATAAAACTAGGATTGACTCGCATAGGGTCCCCAGCAGAGTCTCCAGCTGAAGCAACCGGCAAAAAACACAGAGCCGCCACCAAACTTTATTTATCCCGAAGGAAGGGGAAATATTGATAAAATATCAAGAGGATGGATAATATGGTCTTGCAATTAAAAGAGAGGGTACAAAAGTCGATTATGTGAGGGGAAGGTATTAGCACCCCTCACATTCATTGTACTCAACGGGATCCATTTTGATTGTTTGTTTCTAAGGGTGTGCCTATCTAAAACTATACTTGTTAAGGGAAATGAAATGGTTTTTATTAGTGCGTTTGTGAGGGTCTCACAACCCTTTTCCTATGTATCCCTTGAAGGAATCAGAACACCATAGTTCTTCTATAAAATGTTGGTTTGTTGGTGTTTTTTAGTGGGCGATGTTAGCACATTCATTCTAGCAATAGGCACGGCCTGTATCGCGGTAGAACAGAGATAACATGCCCTTTTGAATAAATCATTAATTTATTGAGTGTTTTTGTTAAGTGTGGAATGAGTTTGAATAATGATTAAGTTTTTTTTGGGGCTTTCATTAAGGAAAGAAATTTTAGTTTTAATTAGAAAGGATGCAATGCAAAGGGAAAGTATAAGGGGAAAGTCTACCCTAGTATTGTCATGCAATTAATAGACTTAATGTTGAGGTTTTTGAAAGGGGAAAATCTTACCTAAATGGTCATGCCAAAGTTTGAAACCTAATGTCTAATTCAACATAAAACGATCCAAACCAAGTTTTAATCATTAATGGTGTTTCTTAAGGGATCATGGCAAAAGAAACAACTAAACCATCAACCATGAATAAAAGAGAATAAAAGTCTAATATTTTTGGGATTTTCAAGTGATGAGATATTAAAATCAACAGGAAATTATACTTATTCTGACATTTTTGGTATTTTGATCAAGTTAAGAAACAACCCAAAATTAAAAGGAAATTAAAACTTATTATAAAACTTTTGGTATATTTTTTGACAGAAATTCTAAATTCTAACTAATTTAAAATTTAATTATGTTTTGTTTCTTTTTTATTTCCTAAAATTACTCTGGGATAATGTTATAGTCAAATAATAAGTAAAAAAATAGGACAAAGTTAGTCGGGCTGACTGGGGTGTAAACCTCAAATGAGATGAAAGGTCCAAAAACAAGTAAACAAATGCAGAAAAGTCAAGCCTGGGGCAGACCGGGTCAAAACTAGATCTAGTGCCCATCCTCTAAACAAATGGGTTAAAAAACCCTAAAAACATGTTGAACGGCCACCCGCGTACAACTCTTCTTCTATTTCTCAATTTGCTTATCTCTCTCTCTACTTCAAACGTGACCTTCACCAAAGTGAAACAACAACAACAAAACTCGATTGCAACTCAACTCCTTCACTTCCCTTCTTCTCACGCTCTCTCTTTATCAACTCATACTTACAGCCACACAGAAAATATCATGAATACGAAACTTAGTTATAGGTATCAATCAAATAAACAACAATATCAAAGAAAATTGAAAGGAAAATATGGAATAAAGCTTCGTTGAAACCTTACGATGATACGTTGTTTCTGGTTGCCCCTGCTCCAATCTGAAATAGCTTAGGTGATTTTAATTATTCAATTTGTATCTTGACTCGTTCGATAGTGGGTTTGCGTGAGAGATCATGGCGACAACTTGGCTCAAAACGGATGTACGATTCTGAGTAGCTAATGATATAGTTTTGATTCGTTCTTCTTCCCCTTCTTATTTCTTTGTTTGTTTTCAGAGTTTACAGGTTGGTGATCATGTTACTGATGTGGTGGTTGTTGAGTTTGTAATTTTCATATTCATGTTGTTGATGTTTATACGTCAGTGTTCGAGTTAGAGCTTGAAGATCATTGTGAATAGATGAAATTGATGGTGGAAGGTATAATAGAAGTTAGAAAAATTGTTTGTTTTTTTCTTGTGTCGTTTGTCTAAATTCTAAGAACAGAGGGTGGTTTATATAGAGGAATTAAGGGGAGCTTTGGGGGGGAAAGTTTGGTGAATTTTGAACTGTTTTGATACTCTGATTCAATATTTTTTGATGTAGTTCTTGCTTCTGCTGTTTTAGTGTAATGTTTGGACTGTTTGGTGCAGGGTTTTACAGGCTGGTGGAGCAGGGTTTGGGACAACAATATTGGACCATTGTTCTTGAAGTGTTGGAGTGTTATGGACAGTAAAAAGAGGTTTTATGCAGGCTACATTTTTTGCATTTTGGACATTAGATTTGGACTGGTTTTTTGGCTTTCTTAAACATGTTTGATTCTTGTTGTTTTCGTGCAAACTTTGGCTCTGTTATAGGACTAGTACAAAACTGGTTTTATTTATTTATGGGCAGTCGGTTTTACAGGTTGGTGACTGACTTTTTGGAGATTTTGGCACAGGGTATTATGTTTTGTTTTGTGCAGGTTTGGACAGCAAGTACAATAAGTCTTTGGGCTATTGTTTTGACAGTTTGTGGGGTCCATTTTGCAGTAATTGTGTTTGGATGTGCAGCATGGCAAAGTGGACATAGCAGTAAGGCAAGCAAGGAGAAGCTACAAGTTTAAAACTTGGTTTCATGTAGCTTTAGGAGTTAGAAACTTTTATGTTTGATTTTCTTTTTGTTTAAAAGTTTCAAATGATGTAATTTTTAGGATTAGATTCAAATTTGTGAGGCCCTCTTCCCTTGTGTAAGGCTTGATATCTCTTTGAATGAAAATAGTTGAAACAAGTATAGTTAAGTGTATTATGACTTACATTTTTTGAAGAATCTTGAATGAACTCTTGCATTGATTTTATGCTTGAATATTTGAATAGCTTTTGACATAATCAAGTGGTTTCAAGATCTTCCATATTTTCCACACCATCCTTTAATATTCCTTCCCCTTTTGCAATGTCCTCAAGACTTATTCAAAAGTCTTTTCTCGATGATAATGGACGAACGAATCTCAAAACAATACTTGAGTACCATTTTAATTCTCCATTAAAATCCAAACCAACTTGTATGACAAGCAACAAACAATGGAGACAGTGATGATGTCTTGAACACAAAATGAGTCTACAACCATCATCTCTTGCATCATGATCCAAACTTTTGTAACTTTAACCACAAGCCCTTTGTCTTGACAAATTCTTCTTTTAATTGCCAAAGAAATGCCTTTGAAGAATACTTCAAGCATAGAAAAATATCCATGAGATAAAACCCTAACCATAATCTTCTCTTTGAGGAATGTTAACACGATCAAACATGAATGAGGAACCCTAATCCACTTGCATTCAAAACTTAATTCCACAGTCCACTTCTCGAGCACCAAATGAATTTGTTTTTATCTGATGAAGAAACTTCAAACCAAAATTAAACCCCGGATGGCACAACCATTGATATTTTAAACTCAAGTGCTTTATTCAATGAAATGCATGATATGCAAATGACTTAATGAGGATGATGCAAATGAATATGAAAAGACTAAACCAGATAAAAAAAGGGTAGGACAAATTTGGGGTATGACAATTTCCCCTATTTAATTATTTTAAACCTGAAGGTGAGATTGGCGCTAGCCTTTCGAACATTCAAGGTGAAAAAAGATTAAATACCAAGACTTGAAATTTGTCCTGGAGAGATTGTGTAAGTGTTATTATTTGTGATGTCTTATGGGGGTTTAAATAAAGGATCGACACAGACGAGTATCGAAAGAAGATACAGACGATCATTAATAAAAGGTTAACACGAACGAGTGTTTGAAGATCCATACAAATGAGTATTAGAATGAGATACAGACGAGTATCAAAAAGATAATAACATGGATGAGTGTTTTGAAAATTAATACAAATGAGTATTGAAAAGAGATACGGACGAGTATCAAAAGAGTAATAACACGGGCGAGTGTTTGAAAATCAATACGAATGATTGAAACGAGATACATACGAGTATCAATAAGTAATAACAGACGAGTGTTTTGAAAATCAATTCAGACGAGTATTAAAATAAGATACAGACGAGTATAAAAAGAGTAATAACATGGACGAGTGTTTGAAATCAATACAGACGAGTATTAAAATGAGATACAGACGAGTATGAAAAAAATTAATAACACACACGAGCATTTGAATATAAATACAGACGAGTAATGAAATGAGATATGAACGAGTATAAAAAAAAGTGATAACACAAACGAGTGTTTAAAGATAAATATGGACGAGTATTGAAATGAGATACTGACAAGTATCAAAAAAGTAATAACGCGGATGATTGTTTGAAGATAAATACATATGAGTACTAAAATGAGATATGGACGAGTATCAAAAAAGTAATAACGCGGACGACTGTTTGAAGATAAATGTGGACGAGTATTGAAATGAGATATGGACGAGTTTCAAAAAAATAATAACGCAGACGAGTGTTTGAAATCAATACGAACGAATATTGAAATGAGATATGAACGAGTATAAAAAATCATTAACACTGACGAGTGTTGGAAAATCAATACAAACGAGTACTGAAATGAGATATGAACGAGTATTAAAAGAGTAATAATACGAATGAGTGTTTGAAATCAATACGGACGAGTATTGAAATGAGATACAAACGATTATCAAAAAGCATTAACACGGACGAGTGTTTGAAAATCAATACGGACGAGTACTGAAATGAGATACGGACGAGTATCAAAAGAGTAATAACACAGACGAGTGTTTGAAAGAGAGGCACAAACGAGTGTTTGGGGGTTAATTTTATATCTTGTATGACACTGACGAGCAAGTCTTTTGTGTGAAGTATCTTGGGAATCTGTTATAGATATCGGATGGAGATTTGTGGGGATAACATCCTCTATGGAGACATACCATTGTTTTGATTGGGATCGATTAAGGCCTACGCTTCACATGCATTTTTGAGTTGTATAGTGTAATGATCCATTTCGAAGGATATGATACGTGTTTAAGGATGTAATGTAATATGCAGTGATGATTACTATATGTAGAGTGAAAATGATTAGGCTCATTGGGGTCCATTTCTCGTTGTCTCGAGATAGCAATATATATCAGTGCTTGAAAACTCGAGGATTGAGTTATAGTCTTACTGGGGAGGATTAGCTTGATCTGACTTTCCCTACAACCTAGATGGCTTATGAATGGCTGGGTAGAGACATAGATCTAGAATTCCCCAAGTTTCCTCAATGTTGAAGAGTCGTGTGCTTAACCGTCTACAGAGGGTGACGATGACATAAACTAGGTTGAGTTGACCGTTACGACTTGCTACCTGCATAGAAAAGCAACATTTAGATGTGTAATAGGGTGGGAGAAGTGACTTGCTTTTGTGTTTTATCGTAAATGTTGTGGATAGCAAGAGTCGCCATCAACTTTTCTTTTATCCAATAAGGAAAGGGTGAAAAGAACAGGAAAGACCTTTTTGATTTTGAGTTTGGGGGGTAGGTTATGAAAAGGGAAGATGTTAGCACCCTTTTCATCCGTAGTTATCTACGGGTTCTCAATTGCTAGCTCACTTTATTTTGAAAAATGCTTTGTGAATGTGTTTGAAAAATATTTTGAATTCCAATGCAATGCAACTTTGTAATGACTCTCGTATTTGTCCTCGAGAATGCGTACAAAGTGTTTGTTTGAAAATATTTTTGAAAAGTGTTTGTGAAATATATTTTTGTTTTAAAATGTTTGTGAGCAAGCGGTTAACAGTGGAATACCTACTCAAGGTCTTTCTTGTACTTTCCTTCTCCTTTATATAGTTCTATCCTACTATTAGTTAGTAGGAAGCCCTATCATTAGATGTGAAGGGACAGGCGTGAGTCATCGTACAATCATTGAAGGCAACTTGTAAGGATGCTTTAGCAATTATCGTTAAGGGACTAAATCATTTACCGAAGGAAACATCGAAAGGGTTATCGAGGGACTACGATCTTTATTTTTGAGGGATCGTGCTAAAGCGTCTCCATGTTCGAGGGACATGACTATTTTTCCAAAGGCAGCAAGGGAGATTACCCTAGAGGTGTGAGTGTGCAAGTGATTTCTGATTCAGTTATTTTAATATTTGGTTAAGGTTAGCTATTGTTTGTTTTTATCTTGCCATACATGACCTAATTACTAACAGTAATAGTAAGATAGTAAAGTAGTAAATATGTAGAAAGTAAAAAGTGGAAAGTAAAGCCCTAGACTATTACAATGCTTTTGGAGAGGTATATAATAGAAATGCGGAAGAATAAACCCTAATTACTATTACAAACCATAAGAAGTTACAATAATAATGAAAAGTCTAAGCTAATTTGCAGAAATAAAAGTAAGAAAGAAGGGAAAAATATTTTCGAGTTTTTTCATGAAAAGGGTTTTTTGACGATTAACCCTAAAAACCTAATTAATTTTAATTAAAAAAATAAAGTTGATTAATTAAAATAAAAACCTAAAAAAATCTAATTTGATTAATTAAATTTAAAAACCTATAAAAACTAATTTGATTAAGGTTTGTAAAAAGTGTTTTGAAAAAAAAACAGGGTTTGTTTTAAGGGAAAAAGAGTGAAAGAGTAAGAAGAATAGGAAAAAAAAAAGAGAGAGAAAAAAAACATTGTAAGGGTGGGTGTTGAACTCACGCCCTTAGAACTTTTATCCAACATGTTCACCAATAGGCTAGGTGTGCGCCCGTGTCAAGGAAAGGAAACCAACGCGCTTAATATGTTATGCCTGCAAAACATGGAAAAAATATGAAAAACATCAAAATGCCAAAAGCAGGAATCAAACCCGTGCCCTTGCATAGTAAATCCACTGGGGTGGTGATACATCCATTGTTTAAAACAAAACAAATTAAATATAATATAAAAATAATGCATGAACCGAAGAGGCACCGGAGCCCTAGCTCCAATCGTCTTCTCTGGTGAGTCCTTTCTTTAAACCCTGAAAAAATAGATATGGTTAGAGATCCAGGGGCACCCTACCCCCCTAAATCGAGGCCTGCAAATTCAATGGAATGGTTATCTTGGATTGAATCGCGCTAGGTTTTGAGCAATGACAAAAATAGCGTAAATCTGTATGAACGTGGTGGTTCGTGATTTGGCCATTATGGGACTTGTTCTTTGGGTTATTCTTGCACCATTAACCCTCGTGAACATGTTAGCACAGTTAGTATGCGAAAAAATAACATGAAATAAAATATATGAAAACCATGAAATGTTGAAACCGGTGATACATGCTCATGGTGTTTCTGGCCTTTTAAATTGTTGTAAATAACCAAACCTTACCATATGATCTTCTTAGAATCGATTGGGATGTTGGTATGTGTTGAAGGTGGCTGAAACTAGGGTTTTAAGGCTGCCCTAATTTTGAGTAATTTTGTGAATTTATGAAAGTTTCTTGCACAAGGTTTTTTTCGCGGCCTTCATGTCTAAATTGAATGAGATTATATAGTTTGAATTTTGGCCAAACAACATGGTCTTGGACTTTTGTAATAAGCCTAGATCTTATTTTGTTTTATTTTGAATTTTAAACAAATAAAATAAATAAATAAACCAAGGGGGTGCATGAATAAGATTTGAGGTGTATATGAAATGTAGAACACGTTTGGTCTTTG